TCAGTAGTTGAAGATAATGTTAATAATAACAATCAAAATAATCAAGAAAGAAAGGAATAATTAATAAATTTATAATTATACTTACACACACATATATATATAAATTTCATTTATGTGAAATAATTGGGAAAAAAAAGTAAAAAAAAAAATTTTTTTTTATTTTTAGTAAAATGGTATTTTAATAAGAAATTTTTTTAAAAAAAAAAAATAAATGAACTTATGTAATCATGTTTAACTATCAAATGTCCATTTTACGATAAAAGTATTAGAATATTTTTTTAAAAGTGCCATATTTGGCAAAACTGACTACGTAGAATATTAATTAATTAATCTAAATATATATATTGAATAAAACAGGCGTAAAAATTTATTATAACTTATAAATTAAAATAAAAAACAAAAAAAAAAAAAAAAAAAAAGCTTCTTCCTTCACATTCACCGTAATATAGGATAAGATAATAAAATTGTTATTTGTAAAACGTATTTTTATGTTAATTTTTTAAAACTTTTATTATTAAAAACAAAAAACAGTTTAAAATTTAATTAACACGAGCAATGTTTTTTATTTTATTAAATCAATTAATTTCCCTCTTTTCAACAAAAATCGAATTGACAAAATTAATTATTATATTTTAAACGTTCGCCATTATTATTACTAACTCAATATCGAAATGGCGGATGTGAATTGATTTTTTATATGTTGTAAGTGGAACTAACGATAGGTCGATACGGCAACCCTGCCAAAAACTTTTTGCAAGATATTTACTGGATAATTAATGTTGCAAAAATATTATACATTACCGCAGGGATAATGATTCGGTTCTAGTCGAAAGCAATATGGGAAAAAAACTTTGTTAATAAGGTACTTAGGTTTAAAAATCCAAGACCCAAACGTTATTTCATTTAATATTTTGATGTATGTATTGTTTGTCTGTAAAGATACATAATTTAATGCGTTTTAAAAGAAAGATCTATGCAAAGTTTACTTATGATATGTATTATTGTATTTAGTTTAAAGTTTTGTTTTAATTTTTTTAAAGACATAAAAAATAAAAATATATTTGGACTTATTGTTTGATAAATTGTATAAAAAATATACTTGCAGAAAACTAATTAGTAATTTTATAATTATTCATCCGTTTTTGAATTACGATAGTTTAATCGTCGTAATAAGGCTTTATCATGTTACAGATATAAACAAAAAAAAAAAAAAATTTTTTTAAAGCTACAAAATGGGGAGTTCTAATAGGAACGATCCTCAAATTTTAGAAACCCAAATACCAATTAGACAAGAAGAAGATGCTAAACAATGTTGGGTGTGTTTTAGTACAGAAACTGATGACCCTAATGCTTTATGGGTCAGGCCTTGCAAATGCAAAGGAACAGCTAAATGGGTAAATATTTTGCCCCTTATTTAATGTTTTATTTTTTTACATTTATAATAATTTTACCTGTGGATTTAAAGGTTCATCAGTTATGCTTGCAAAGGTGGGTAGATGAAAAGCAAAAAGGGAATTATTCTGGAAAAGTCTCTTGTCCTCAGTGTAATACAGAATATATAATTGTTTATCCGAAAATGGGTAAAGTTCATAATTTAAACATGTGTACTTTTTAATCACTTACTTATTACAATTTATTTATTTATGATTCTTTTCATATATATTAATTAGGTCCACTAATTGTGATATTAGATTCATTCAATGCAGTCGTTTTTAAAGTATGTCCGATAATTGCTGCAGGAGTAGTTGTTGGTTCAATATATTGGGTTGCAGTTAGTTATGGAGCAATAACTGTTATGCAGGTAAATATATTTTCGAATGAAAAAAAAATAATAATAATATAAAATTTAATATTTAATTTAATTTTCCTTTTTTTTTTCCCCCCCCAAAGATCATGGGTCAAGAAAATGGGTTAGACCTTATGGAAAATGCAGATCCTTTGATGCTTTTAGTAGGGCTTCCTATCATACCAGTTGCCTTAATATTAAGCAAATTAATTAATTGGGAAGATACAGCTTTAACATTTTTAAGAAGAAATGCAAGGAAAGTTCCAGTACTTAAGTATATTCTACCTTTTTTAACGTGAGTAATTAATATATCATCTCCTTGGATGGAGTCATCACCCTTTACCACACTCACATTCATTTCATTATTATTATTATTATTATTATATTGTATGCTAACATCACATGTTTAAATACCTTCAATAAAAAATTATAAGTTGCAAATTATTTAAATTATAGGTGGTACTCTGTTGAAAACAATGGTCAAAGCCCTGCAGCTGTGCCACCCCTAAATGATCCAATATCAGCAACAAGAGTTTTATGTTCAGCCCTTATACTTCCTACAATGGCTACAATTACCGGGGGTTTATTATTTCGATCAGTTCAATCAAACGTTCAACGAACGTTTTTAGTAAGTTTAAATTAAACATTTTAACAATTTATTTAGGGAGAAAAATTAACAAATAGTTAATTTTAAAAATTTGTAAGTGTACACTCATGCATTTTTAAATAATTTAATTATTTATTTATCTATTTTTCGAATAGGGTGGAATCGCTTTTCTTACAATTAAAGGAATATTAAAATTATATTACAAACAGCAACATTATATTCGACAGTGCAAGAGAAAAATATTAGATTTTCCAACTGCTTCTTCTCCTAATTCTACTCCTACAAGACCTACTGCCAGACAAGACATTATTGTCGAAACTGGAAATTCATAATATTGGAGCAGTGGTGTAAATAATATATGAAAAAAAAAAAAAAGGGATAAAACCATTACCATCATTCCCCCTCAACTGCTGACACATTGTAAATAAGTAAATAAAAATATATATATATTTAACAAAAGATTTTCTTTAAATTAGTTAGTCGTTAGTTAAATATAAAAAAAATGAAATTTTTTTTTTCTCCCTTCTTTTTTCTTTTTTTTAAAATTTTAAAATTTTTATGTTTATTTTATTTTTTTTTTATAATTCAGACTGTTGATGAAAAAATATTAGAATTTATTTTACAAATTTATTATTATTATTATTATTATAAATTTTTTTTTTTATGGAAAAAGAAAAAAATGATTCCTTTTGTTGTTAAATAGAACGAGGGTATACAATAGCATCAGCGACTGCTTGTTTGGCTTTTTCCAAATGATAACGTCTATTTCTTTCTTCTTGTAGCATAGCAAGTCCTGTGATAATTTTTTAAATGTATTTAATCTTATAAAAATTAAATTAATGGTTTTTTTTTTTGTGAGTTTTAACGTTAAAATAAATTTAAATATTTGTATTATAACAAAAAGAAAAGTGTTTTACCATTAAGAAAAATAGAAAAATTTTTTATTTAAATTTATAACTATAAAAAAAAATCTTACCTGCTTTTGCTGCCGAATGAAACCTTTGACTCAGCGATGCTTCATTTCCTTTTATTCCTGGTATGTGACCAGTGTAACCAGCTATGGGTGGTAATTCAGAAGTTACCGGTGGTACTAAAGTAAATAATTGTTTTTTAAAAAAAAAAAAAATTTATTATGATTTTCAGGAGGTTTGTTATGTGACACAGGTGAAGTTTATTGATTTTACCATAAGTTTTGTAAAATGCTCTAGAATTTTTTTCTATTAATTTTGATATTTCATCTCTATTTCGTACGCAACATACTTTAGGTATTGTTTTTTCAAAAAGTACCTTATCCTGTAAGAGTAATAAAAATGTTCCTGAATACTTTTTATCAATTTTTTATAAAAAAATGCCTGTTGGATTTTACAATACCTGTTGTCTTTTATTATCCTCATTTTGTAGTCTTTGTATAAATTTAAAAACACTTTTATTAGCTGCATTACTAAATGGCATACCATATTCAAAATTTATTCCAGGTATAAAACCTTAAATATATATATATTGAAAAAAAAAAAAAAAATTTAAATTTTTATGTAACCTTTGACATCATTTATTAAATTTTTTCAATGTAAAACCTCCTTTTTGTTATAATGAAGAATACCTGTGTAACCTGTTATGAAAGATCTTTGTGGTTGATTGGTAAATATTATAGGATCTAATTCTTCTCCTTTTTCATTGACAACATTTGTAAAAGCCGTTGCCCACGGTTGTCCTATTTTATAAGGTTTAACAAATCTTCCCAATGAAATATTTCTAAATTCATCAATGACTTCATTTGTAATTGCACCATATCTTTTACCAAAACGAAATTTTAATGTAGGACAATGCCCTGTGTAACTAATAATCTCAATTTATAAAAAATTTACCGTCAAAAAAAAAAATTAGGTCATCGAAAAAGTAAGAAATATTTAACAAACTAACTCACCCAGGTATGTGACAACCGGTTATTTGTTTTAAAAATGATTCCCTTTCGTTTGAAACTAAATCAACAAACGGCATTATACTTAAAATTAATTAATAATCATCATTTTATTTTATTAATATAAATATATTAAAACTATTAATATCTGCGACAAAAGTTAATAATCGACAAAACTTAAAAATTTTCCCCATGGCGACCATTAAAAAAAATTCATTTCTAACTAAATTTATTATTCATTTTTAATGACAATTAATTTAAAAGTAAGTTTTTCAGTTTAATTTTCAAAATTAGGAAATATTGAATCAGAAGATTATTTAAAATAAAAAAAAATATTTGTTGACATTTAATAAAATTTTTTAATATAAATAAATAATTTTTAAAAAAAAATTAAAGCTTTAAAAATAACGTTTTATAAATAATGCAAAAATTAATTAAGAGATTTTTGCTTGGAAATCTTCCACAAAAAAAAAGATTTTTTTTTTTTTCTATTTTTTATCCACGTTAATCTCAGATGAAAATTAAAACCGGATACAAAAAAAGAAAAAAAAAAAAAATAATAAATTTTAAAAAGTAGGAGGAGGTGGAAATTCTCCCGAAGGGGAAAATGGCGGTTGATCAACAACAGGATAACCAGCATATTTAGCAATGGCACATTGATTTACACCCTTTTTAAGAAACATATATCCATCGATACCCCAATGTTCTCCCCACCAATTTTTTAATATCCAAGCATCTTTTGTATATCCGACAATAAGCATTGCATGATTTACTTTTGTATGTGAACAATTTGGATCATCGTATATTCCTCGACTGAAAAAAAAACGAGAAAAAAAATTAATTTTTTTGTCATGAAGAAAATTATTAATTTTATAATAAATTATAAAAATTACTGGTATAATTGAAACGTGTAAGGACTAGCATCTACCGAACAAGCAACGGGTCCCACTGTGGCAACAGCTTCTTGTATTGCTTCTTCATCGTATTCGGGTAATATTACATAAGAAGTTACGTTTACTGATCTGTTCCACGGTCGATATTTACATATTTTTTGCTACAATTCAACACAAACAATCAGGTACATGAATGTTTACAATAATAAAATAATAACAAACAATTCAAATATTTTTTAATTTTTATTTCACCCTTGCTGAATATGGATATTCATTTGCTGACATTAAACCTCCAACTTTCATGCAATATTTCAATGAATTTCTTAAAGAACCTCCATAACATCCTAAATTACCATTTGTAACACTGCAATCGACAATTTGTTGAACGCTAAAACATTAACTCGTTTAATTATTTAATGAAAAATTCAATGGAGTGTATAAAAATTCTTTTTTTTACGTTAAAATAACCTCAAATCACGTAATTTTCCAGTTTTTCTAAAAAATTGACCCTGAGCACTTGAGGCTATGCTAAATGCATAACAAGATCCACAATTTTGTTGATCCCAAGATGGTGTAAAAAATCCTTGTTCTAACCAATTCCACTGTTAAAATTAACCGACATGTTTAATGTAAATGATTAAAAAAAAAAAAAAAAAGGAATAAAAAATTCTAATTACCTCTTCTGGAATATTAAGTTGTCTTTTTACGTAACGTCCTGTTGCTGCTGTTGCTGTTGCTGTTGGTTTAGGTGGCGAAGAATCTCTTTCACTTCTTGTAGCTCTTAACATTCTTCGTATATATTCTCGTATGCTCTAAAATAAAAAATTATAATTATTATTTACAAAATTTAAAATGTCAAAAATCCGTTAAACGTTACACTTACCAAATCCGACAAATGATTGGCTCTCAAATAAAACCCGCGACTATTTTCCCTCGTTTTTTCATTATGCTGATGAACTCTTATTAAATTTTCAATCCATTGTTTTTTCCTTTTACCATCTTTGCTTTTGTGATAAAGTTTATTATGTGCTTCCTGTTAAATAATAATTACAAAAAATTCGATTATTAAATTTTATAAAAATGAATAAAATAAACTTCAAATAAAATAAAATAAAAAAAAAAACCTTAAAAGGATCCCAAAATTGATGAAGTTCCGTTAAGTATTCAGTTATGGGTGCTGCCAAATGTATTCCAGCAATTATTTCATGATGTCCTGGAGGTTCGTGTATGGAACTATTTTTCATCAATACTTTTAAACTTCTTAAATTACGTTCGTTATCATTTTCGTTCGTCGAATGAATATTATTATCATCGGAATAAAACTAATTTTATATAAATATTAATAATAAAAAAAAAAAAGAAAATTACATCGCAATTACAACATCTTGCATGAGTATTCATTTAAAAAAAAAAACCGTTATTTTTTGAAATTCCATCTGATACTATGGCTTTACGTCATAGTACACATTTTATAAAAACAAATTATGCGATTAAAATAAATTATTTGAAATTATAACATAAAAAAAAATTTTGCATACGATTGACCGTTATTTTAAATAAATAATATTTACCGTGTTTAAATATTTATCATCCAAATATTCGTTTGAAATGTAACAAAATTTTGATATAATTAAAATAAATAAAACCGTTAAAAACATATTCAAATTTAAAAAAATTACAAATTATAATAATTAAATATAAATTTATATAATATTTAACTGAATAAATAAAACTAAATTAAATTAAAATTTTTTTTTTTTTTTTAAATGTTTTTTTGTACCCAATTGATTTGATTACCTTAATTAGGTAATATTGCTGACTTTGTCAAAAATTATTTTTTTTTTTTTTTTTTTACCTTTCTTGCAAACGCATCGTTTCCTATAGACCTTCTTCTTCTTCTTACTATGGCTATTGACCCAATTTTAATAATAATAATAATAAAAAAATGGATTCTCATTTATTATAATATTTACTACAATTTTACTTTATTTTTTTTTTTTTTTTGTTCAAAAATAAAATGTAAATTATTTGTTTTACATAAATGGTAATTATTTTAATATATAATGCTTAATATGTTTCCTTTAAATATTTTTGACATTTTATTAAACATTGTTTATTTATTTTTTAATCAATTAATAAATATTTTCCTTATTAATAATAATAATAATAATAATAAAATTATTAATAAGGCTTCATGATTAACAAATAATTCAAAAAAAAATACATTTGATTAAATTTAAAAAAAAACAATTTGAAAATGGAATACATACAAATTCATTATAAAAAATATTCATATTTATCATGATACATAAATAAATAATTTTATTTATTAAAAATAAATAAATAAATAAAAATTCCCCCCTTTTTATAATGACATAAAAAGGATATCTAAAGAATATAAAAAAATTAATTTTATGTAAAATATTTTTTTCTAGAATTTTTTTTTTTTTTACTATTTCAATATTATCGTGTCCTATTTTAAATAAAATAATAATAATAATAATAAACACGTGGAATATATAAAAATATATATATTAATAATTTTTATTTTAAAAAAGTTAAAAATAAATTTTTTATATAAAAAAATTCGACACACACAAGTTTTTTTTTTGTTTTGTTTTGAATGAATGAATTAAATTTCGATTGTATTTTTTTTTTTTTTTAAATTTGTTTTGATCGACATAAATAATAAAATCGTAATAAAAAAAAAAAAAAAATGCTAACTAAAAATAAATTTACATCGTTTTAATAATAATAATAATAATAATAATAGAAATGAAAGGCTTTTTTTTATTTTTTTACAACGACTAAATTAATAATAAAAATGCGTCAATAAAATATAAAAATAAAAATGCGTTGGCATTAACGCATAATAATAATAATAATAATATTTAATTTTAAAATTTCATTAAAAAGAAAAAAAGAATAAATATTCTTTTTTATAATTTGATTATAAATTTTTTTTTTTTTAATTTTGATATTAATTTAATTCGTTGTGGCTTTTAAATAAAAAAAAAAAAAAATTTAAAGATGACTCTACTATTTTGTACTATAAAAATAAATTTTTTTTTTTTTTTTTGTACTTTCGAAAATGATTTGAAATATTTACATATATTATTTAATTCAGTTGATAAAAAGCTCGTTAATAATTTGTTAGAAAAATTTTTTTGATATGAATTTATGTATACCGAAACAAATCCAAATTAATTTTGCAATTATTAATTCTTTTCACGTAACACCCAATTTTTTTTTTTATAATTATTTTTCATATTAGTAAATGCAATTTAATTAAAATTATTATTACTATTATTATTATTAATTAAGCCAAGTCAAAATATATAAATCATCAAGTTTTATAAAATATATATATATATTTTTTTTTTTTAGTATGTACGTTGTAATAAAAACTTACAACAATTTAAAGAAAAATATTAATAAATATTTATTTATTTATTGTCAACTGTTTATTAATGTATCTGTTAAATAAGTGATTTTAAATATTTTTTCAAAATATTGTTTTTCCGTTGGAAGATTTACTGTCCAAGCAATAACTCTCACTCCTCTTTTTGTCCAATATCTTATAACATCCCTGAAATCAAAATTTTTTTTTTTTTTTTTTTTTTAAAAACAGGCTCATTAAAATAAAATTTTTCACTCGAGAGTTTTCATTATTTAATAAAAAGTTTAATATTTTCTCGTAATTTCCAAAAACCTTTTTTTAATAAAATTAAAACTTTTATTATTATTATTATTATTATTATTATTAAATTAATTGTTAAATTCATTACCAAGTTATCATATCCTTATGAAGAAGTAATGCAGACAATCCCAATATGTAGTACCCAAATTTCCATAATACCCATTCGTGAACATAATTTAATATTCTTAAAAAAATTAAATAAAATAAACTTGTCGTTCTAGGATTAGTAGGACCTAATTCTCCATTAAATTCTTCATGAGAATAATAATAAGGTCTCCAAGCTAGAGAACATGCAATTTTAGGATCCTCCGATCGAATCTGTTTTAATTCATCAAAATGTTTATTAGTTTTACAGTAAGTTTATATTAAGTGTTATTACAGTAATTTTTTTTTTTTTTTCCGTTAAGTAAAAATTAATAATATTTAAATTTTAAAAATTCACCTTATAAATTAAAATGGGGTTAAATGTAGACACAACTGCAAGTTCATATAATCTAGGATGGCACTTATACAATTCAATAATTTTATCTTTAATACTTTTCGAATTGCTTTTTAAATCGATAAACATTCTTATATTATTGTCAATACAATATTTTATAAATTCATCTATGGTTGGAATTTTTTCTTTTGGAAAGTTTTTGCTAAAATAAAAAAAAAATTTTTTTAAATAAGACATACAGAGATTAATAAATAAAAAATTTAAAGCTTTAGTTTACCTAAAGGGATGATTAACCGAAATATCAAGTTTTTGAATTTCTTCGTACTCTGTTTTTTCGACCAATTTATCACAATTTGTCATTCTGATTAATGAATGATCGTGAAAAACAATTGCTATATTATCTGATGTTAACAAAACATCAAATTCAACGGCTTTCATTCCCTCTTTAGCAACCTGAAACAAAAAATTTTTTTTTTTTTAATACAAAATTTTTTTTTAAACTTTATTCAATTAAAAATAATAAAAAATGATTTACCTTTTTAAGTGATGATAAACTATTTTCTGGGGCATCTAACCCACAAGCCCGATGCCCCACAATTTTCATTTCATAATCTCCTTTACCTAATAAATCATCAGGTAATGATTTATAAGCTCCCCAAGCATCGCCAAATATACTAATTACACCTGAATTAGCAGGCCTAGGAATTCTATATTTATAAATTACTCCAAATAAAATGGAGGGTACGCATAAAAATAATAATATGTGACCGAAAAATCCAATAGCAATTAAAAAAATGTAATAAAAATGAATTAAAAAAACTAAGCAAGATAAATATACTGAAAATTCTACAAAACCGGCCATTGTAACTATTGATCAGTTTTAATTAAAAATATTTTCGTTTTTAAAAAAAAAAAAATATACTTTACACGCTGATAATGATTTTTTTTTTTAAATTAATGATTAAATAACATAACTTTGTTTAATGAATTTCATGATTAAAGATGTTTTTGTTAAACCGTAAATTAATCACTAACAGTGATAGAGTTACGGCATTCGATTATTATTATTATTTTATACTCGAAATTCCGGAAATGGGGTAAAAACGGTTAGTAAAAAGACAGAAAAAAAATCGCACTGATAGAATTTATTAAAATTTTTTTTTTTAAATCTATGTTTAATAACATATTTATTAAAAATAACGAAATTTTATAAATAAAAATATATAATTTTATTACGTTAATAAAAAAAAAATTTAAAAGTATAATCTCAATAAATCTCTCATAATTAATCTCCGATCATTTTCCAAGACAATACAAATGGCGAATTCAAAGGATGTTTTTTCTCAACTTTTAAAACCTAAAAAAAATAGTTAATTAAATTGATTTTTTTTTAAATTCAATAGACGGTTTTAATTTAAAATATTTTGTTTTTTTCTTACCAAACTCGTTTTATTCCATTTGAAAGAAACTTCTTCCTTATTAAAAAATAAACTTTTTATCGGTTTTACAAAGCCAAGAATTTTTATGGATCCTAACTGAGGAATTAAACGGTAACCCCAATGTATGATGTTACTCGTCAAATTGTGAGGAGTTAAAATAAAATCTACTAATCCATATTCAAATTTTTTGATTGTATCTAAAAAAAAAAAAAAATTTATCTTTACGTATTAAGTTGGTCGTACATGTTAAACTTCATCTTTAAAAAAATTACTACCTAAACTCTCTCCATCGTCCCAAAATAGAGTCCCGTAAGCGTGTAAAGAAGTATTAGACGCAACTATTAATTCGATATCGTTCAAACGACTGTGAAAATCGTTAAAAATTAATTTAAAATCATTTTAATAAAATAAATAAATTATTTTAACGGAAATAAAAAAGGAAAAAGAACCTGAGCGAAGTCGTGACTTCCGGTTTTTGAGTGGGTAAAATGGAACCCCCTCGTATAAATAGAGGTATGGTGTCCGTAGGAGCAAATATCACAGTTTCTGTTCCGTTAGATTCGATACCGAATTCGGTATACCAATTATACCATCTCGCACGTGGTAGGTAAGTTGTAACTGTCGTGGCATATTCTCGTAAAACGGGAACTACGAGTAAACAACATCCCCATAAAAATGATTCATTCAAATCGTGAGTGCGTGGATCGTTTGTAAACCTATAAATAAACACAAGATTAATTTATTAAAGTAAATAATTTTTTAAACGAAGATTAAAATAAATATTTACTCGAAAAGTAAAGGTCTCGCCACGGTTTCTCCTCGAGTGTGAGCTTTAAAAAATAATGTGTAAAGATAAGGCAAAAGTGAATAACGAATCATTAAAGCTTTTCTCGTCGATTTGACATTTTCTTCTCCCAAAGCAACGGGATCCTGATCCTGAAGAAAATTAAAAAGTCAACCAGGTTTTTTTCAATTACCCGAACATTATCACATTGCGATTTACGTCAACACTTACGATGGCATCATCCGTATTATGATTTCTTGAAAATGGATAAAAAGCACCCAACTGACTCCAACGTTGACAAAGTGCTGCCGTCGTGTTTCCATTGAATCCACATATATCGGCTCCCATCATCGGTATACCGAATAAGCTGAAAGATAGTAATTCTGAAAATTTTTAATTAAAATTCACTACGAGCAATGATAATTTCCAAAAAAGCTTTTTTTGTTTAATTATAAAATTATCCTTTACTAGGAATGGTTTCCTTCATTGATTGCCAATCGGACACGACATCACCACTCCAGTGACCCCCAAACTGTCCACTTCCTGGATATGTTGAACGAGAAATAATAAATGGACGTTTTCCTAATTGTTTAAGACCTCTATTTAAATGAAAATAATTTTAAAAGAAGAAATTAAACTTGGAAAAAAAATTTTTTTTGGAAAACATTAAATTCACCTGTTTGTAGCTATAGTTTCCGTCAATCCGTATAAATTATGAAGATTGTAATGTAATCCGGCATAATGTCTGGCAGACATACAAATAGTTTTGTCGTATAATTTACCACCGCTTACGCTGGGAACGTAAACCGGATGTTCCCATTTATTATTTGGACAACCATTAAAACTACCATCTAAAAAATTACTAGGCTCATTCATATCCTAAAAATTAAAGAAAAAAAAAAATTATTAATGTAAAAAGAAAATGTATCTTTATCAATAGAAAAATAACAAAAACAACTAACAATCCAAAGTCCATCAAAGGGAATTTTGTCATGAAGTTTTTTTATTTCATCAGACCAGTATACGGTCGTTTTAAAAGAGGTAAAGTCTGGAAAAACTGTGCATTTGGAATTCCAAACTTTTCCGATAAATATGCTTCCGTCGTAGTTTTTAACAAAAGCGTCATACAGTAACCCGTTATTGTATGGAGGGTATGTGCCATTTGGTTCGCATCCACTAATCCCAGGATCTAAAATTGGGATGTAACGCATTCCATTCTGATGCACCTCTTGTACGAAATCAGGCAAATTAAAATAATTTTTTTTATCGTAGGTAAAATCATTTCTTTTATCCATGTAATCAATATCGTGCCACTGAACATCCTAAAATGTTTTTAAAAGTGATATTTTATCTTCTTTTTTTATTTGATAAAAAAAAAAAAAAAATGAGTCGGCATTTCCTCGACTAGTCACTTTTGTTTAACGATAAACAATAATTTCAACTTACAAATGGTATATCGGCTAATTTTGTTCTGTTCCAAACAGAACGAATTTCTTCTGTATTTTTGTAGCCCAACCTGTAAAAATAAATTGTTAAAGAAATTTGAGAAAATAATTTTACTGAACAAAAATTTCAATATTTGTTTAGATAATAATTATTTTTTTACCGAGACAAATGAAATCCCAGTGACCAATATGGAGGAAAAAAAGGACGTCCAATTATATCCGTATATTGTTTAATAACATCACTAGGGGTTGGTCCCAGAAAAAAATAAAAATCAAAAATACCACCAATAGATCTAAATGTTACTGCTGGAAGTGGCTGTAGTATTACTTCTACAAAACAAATTTAAGTTTAAAATTAAATTTTCCAAAACAAAAAATTATTTTTTTTATGTATAAAATTAAATTACCCATTGCATTACTATTGTGGAAAAAAACTCCATGACTTTTTCCACTTTTTTCAAGCACCAAATAAAATGGATGAGTTCCATATAAATTAGTCTGAAAGAGAACAAAACATTTTAAAAAAATAGGATAGATGTAAAATACCAATGGCAGCAATAACACCCACATTTGATACTGGAATTCCATCATGATTAAACATTGTATATTTTGTCCAATTAGTATTTAATTGAAATGAAGTTTGATGTTCTCCAAGACCATAAATTTTACCATTTATTTTTCCACTTATTTGTAAAAATTGATCGGAAAAAATAAAACTTCCAGAATTTTCACTATCGAATCTGTTTTAATTAAAAAAAATTCAATAATAACAAAATTTTTATTTTAAATAAACAAAATGTATATAATCAAAATTTTAATTCAATGTCAACAAACTAAATAAATTATTATATTTACTTACAAAACATCATTATTGTTTCTGACAACTTTGAAACCATTAACAAGAGGCACAACATTTACTGAATATTTTTTAACATTGTTTTTAAAAACTATCGGTATTTCTGGATAGGGAGGCTCATAACGATTTGAATTTGCATCAGTTATCTGTTAATAAAAAATTAGTTTGAAGAAAAAAAAAAAAAAAATTACAAATAATAACGAGTAAAATGAAAAGAAATATACCTTAATATGTACAATATTATTATTTAAGTAAACAACATCTAATCTCAACAATTTAATATCATCAGAATAAGGTGATGGAAATTTTCTCGAATAAAAAGCAGTCAATCCTATTTTGGATTGAGTAATGTTTATAATTCCATAACCGCTGTACGATTTGGGATAATAACAACTAGGTATTGGAGGCTTTGCATTAGTATTCCAACAGCAGCCTCTTTTAAAACATTCCTTTTCATTAGCATCCGGTTCAGGATGACAGTCAAATTTCTCGTTATCATTTGTAAAAAAACATTCGTTTAAGATTTGAGAAATATAATTATTATTATTATTGTACTGATCAATTTTTGAATTGAAAATAAGTTTTTGATTTATTTCTGGTACTCTTCTGTCAAGAGTTGATAAATGTACATTTTGCTTATTAGATTTATTTTCAAACAGAGTAGAAACCCAGAGAATAAGAACCATAAGTTGAATTATGAGTAAGCAATAAATAATAATTTTAGCATTAAATTTATAATTAATAATGTAATTGGCAGATTCTAAAGATACATATTCCTGTCTTTTAGGCATGATTACTCTGAAAAAAATTTTAAATATAAGAGAAAACTGAAATGCATAAACAAAAGTTATAAAAAAGCAAGTTTTAAAAAATTTTTACACTATCAATAAATTGAAACAGTAATTTAAAATAAATAATTAAACAATTTTTGTAATTTTAAAATTATTTCAAAACAAATACTAACTTAAAAAAGCAGGAATAAAGTAAAATAGTTAATAATTTTTACTTTTTTTAAAAAAAAAAAAAAAAACTCAAATTAACTTTATTCAATTGCTTAAATAAAAAATTACTAATAATGAAGTATACTTTAAAAGAATTGCCAAACAATTTAAAATTTATAAAATTTTGTTTAAATTAAAAGAATTAGTAATTTAATAGTTACCCTTCACAAGATGATAAGTTAATATGAATTACCTGAATTGCAAATAATATCTTATAATATATTAATAGTGATAAACAAACTACTGCTATGAATTCATTTTTTCGGTTTTAAAACAGATCAAACTTTATCATTTTTAGTCATATATATAGTTAACCCGCCCTCCGATATCGTTTTTTTTATTAACCAATACCAAACGTATTAATATTTCGATATATTTCGATAATTATTAAACCGGAAACGAGATTTTTTTTCTTCTTTTCTAAATTTACTTTTTAAAAATTTAATATAAAAATTATTAAATTGTTATTTTGTATATTTAAAAACTGTAAGTATATTTAGTATTAAATTAATTATATATTTATTGAAAATGATTTTCGTTAAAAATTTTTTTAAATTGTGATTTCAAATGCCACATTTAAATAAAATATACTTTCTTTTTTCTTAATTTTATTAAAATAAGCTGTATGAAATTAGTAGTAAATTAAAAAAAGAAAAATTGTATAAAAAGAACACTTTGTTCATTATTAGCAAAATTGAACTTTATATATAATAACTCTCCTTACTTTAAATTTTAAGAAACTCGGTTTTATGGGTCAGGTAAAGGTTAAAAGAAATAAGCAATTTAACAAAATATCAATACTGAAAAATTTTTAATTTTTGAAAGCAAGTGATCCACAATATTTGGTAAAAATTAAAAATATTAATAAAATATATTTTTGTTTCCAATTTTCACGTAAACAAAAAAATATTTATCACATTAGCAACCTAAAAAACCAATTGTGACATCATATTGTTCATAATTATTTGTTATAAATTTTAATTAAATTTTTTTTTCGAATCACTTTCATACTAAAATCACAGCAACCTGCAAACTTTTTGAATTGTGCTTTCAATTTGTTGTATGAACCTTTCAAAAATTTAAAAATTATAAAATTATGTTTAGGTTGTCATTTCCCATGTAGTTCCCATTCATTTTCATTTTTGGTGCACGTAAAATTTTCACACTGTAATTACACCTCATTTCAAAAATAGCTTCTATAAATCACTTACTAACAAAATAAAGCTTAAAAGCTTTACAATGTATTATAAGGGTACAATTAATTTCATTAGTTTCTAAATAATTAAATAATAATAATAATAATTAATAACAAACATTTAAAAAATAAAAATTAAATTTTTTTTTTTTTTTTTATGGAAAGAAAATTAAACTGTTAAATTATATGAAAAATGAATTAATTAAATAAATAAAGCACTTAATAACCATAATTTTTTTCTTAAAAAAAACAAACAGTTATTGTTCCTAATATTACTTTTTTTATAGTTCAGTTTTATAATGAATAGGTTTTAATTCTTCGATTCTTTTGATGAAATCAATTTTTTCAATGCATCCTTCGCATGTTTCATCCCAATCTGATAATATTTTTTTTAAATCTCTTACTTTTAGTTTTTTAAGATCAACTGAACCTATGTCAATTTCCTTATCTGAAAATTATTTATTTAATAATATAAATTAGTTTATGTGTAATTTGCAATGCAAAACCGAACAATACGAAAACGAAAAAAAATTTTTTCTCGAAACAAATTATATTACCATATCTAAGTTCACATATTTGATTATCTTTTTTTTTAAGCTTTTCACAAACTTTAAGAGCAGGCATGCCCCATGACAGTGGCTTTGACATTTCTCCTAAAATTCCAGTCGCAGATTCTTCCAACCCTCCAAGATAATAACACTAAAAGTTAAAGTGATAATTAAAATTAAGAGTTGGGAGCTAACTAAAACTACTTATAAATAATTTGCTAAATCGTGATAATATTTAACTTACAAATCTATTTTCTTTAGACTTAACATTTTTGCAATGTTCTTTGAATTCTTTTTCTATTAATTTATGGTCTTTTTTAATAGCATCGGATAAAGAATTAGCAAATCTTTCTAATACTGTTACACAAACTGAAAAATAAAAATAAATAAAAAATTAATATTACAAACTTGAAAAAATTATCAAATTTAAAAATTTTTTACACAACACTCATTTATACCTTCACAATCTTCTTTTTTTAAAGAATTTGCAGAACTAACAGCAAATACTAAAACTACACTTATTATGTATATCACATACTTCAAATCCGGAATCATAGTGACCTATCAAAGTAAAAAAAAAAAAAAAAAAAAATTATCAATTATTTTTAAGTTAACTTTGAAAAAACAAAAAACTTTTGAGTAATTTAACAATCGTTGTGCAATATTAAAAAATTATTTTTTTTCTTAAGAAAAATTGAATTTAATACACCACGTTATACATAAAAAATTTTTTTAAAAATATGAAGTCGGCAAAATTTTTTTGACTTACAGATATAATGTAACCGGTAAATAAATTCAAAATTTACGATGCAAAAATAAATAAATGAGTACGTTAAAAGAATTGTTTTTTAAATAACGAACAACGATTCAAACTTTATTCTTGATATTTTGTTAATAAATGAAAAAATTTTAAAATAATATCCAAGGCCCACGTCATGGACAAAACAGTAAAGAATAGCGTGTTCAAAAACTGACGTGGTTTACACAATAACAGTGTTGCCAACTTCTGAAACTGATGTTGTTTTATTAAATTCACTACATTTTTATTATTTATATAAATTTACTTTAAAATTATAATTATTATTAATATTTTTTAATAATAAATAATTTTATAATCTAAAAAAAATAAAATAATGATAAATAGCTCGTTAAAAAAAAAACTAAATGTGAAAATAAAGATAAATAGAATCATGGTAATTCAGTACTACCAACTTTTATATTTTGTTAACTATTTTACTAAAAGTAGTCTAAAAACATTTTTTTTAAAGTTATTCATTTTTAATAATTAAAAATATGGCACCACGAAGAAAGTGTCCATTTAGTGGAAAAGCTAAAAAAGAGCAAATAAAGGAAAAAAAAATTAAAAATCAAATTAAAAAAGGTATGCTTTTTAAATTTAATGCTTTTTTCTAAAATATAACTTTTAAAAAATTTTCTAAAACCATACTGTAAAATAAATATATATTTAAATTCTAGACCTACCTTTACCTTTATTTTGTTTCTTAAAATAATTTTATGTAAGTGACAAATATATAATTATTAAATATTGAGTATATTAATTTTAGGACAGAAACCAGTTGTACCTTTTTTAACTAAGCATTCTGATGAATCTGATAATGAAGAAGAAGAAAAAACCGTTAAGTTAAATATACAACCATTTTCAAAAAATTCCAAATCAGGAAGAGATGCAAATAGGTAATTATTTTTAATTATTGTTTTAAAAATTTGATTTTATTGACATTGTATATAAATTTATTCAAGATATGTATTACATTTTTACAAAGAGACAAAAGCTGAAATTGAAGAAAAAAAAGAAGCTGCTCGACAATCATTAAAAGCAGTCAGTGAAAAAGACTTGGAAGTTATTATTGATAATTATTTTCCAGAAACAATCTCATTTCCGAAAAGACCTCCTTGGAATTTTGATATGTCAAGAGAAGAACTTGAGGCTAGGGAGCACAGATATTTTACAGTAAAATTTTTACTTGAATTAAAAAAATTTAAAAAAAAAAAAATTAAATGTTTGATTTTTTTTAAAATGCAAATTTGAAAAAAAGCATTTAATAACTTTTGAAAAGATTAATATGTTTTAATTCAAAAACTATTTTAAAAAATTCACTTCTTTATTTTCAATTTGATAGAGTTTAAATTTGTTTTAGGATTTTGTTAAAAAATTAGAACAAGACTTTGGTTCTAAAAACTTAAGTTATTTCGAATTAAATTTGGAAACATGGAGGCAATTGTGGAGAGTATTAGAGATGTCAGATATTATTCTCATAATTGTTGATATTAGATTTGCTGTAAGTTAAATGACATGTTTTATACTAAAAATTATTATCATGTATTCATACATTTAAATTAAAAAATAAATTTTTTTGTAGGCTTTTATGTTTCCTCCATCTTTATATAAATATGTTTGCGAAGAACTGAAGAAAAACATGATATTAATTCTTAATAAAATTGATTTGGTTTCTCCAAGTTTAGTGGTAGCATGGAAACATTATTTTTTATCTAATTATCCGACATTAAAAATAATTACATTCACTTCATATCCATCATATAATCTTCGAAGTACAACTGAAAATAAATCAGGTGTGTGTATATATATATAAATTCACAATATTGTCCATGCTTTTAAAAGTTGATAAAACAAAATTTATTATTATTAATAGGATTACAAATTAGAAGAAGAAGAGGTAAATTGAGAATGGCTGCAGAAGGTGCTCAAAAATTATATGAAGCTTGCAAAGAAATTACTCAAAATCAAGGTATCATCATTATTATTATATATACTTAAAAAAAATTTGAATTTTACCAAAGAAATCGACAAAAAAAAAAAAAACTGTTAGTTAAAATGAAATAAAGCCAATGAAAATTTGTTTTAGTTGATTTGACGTCTTGGAATAATAAAATAACTGAAGAAATGTACAACACATATGATGATGACGAATGCAACATTAATGTTGTCACCGAAACAATAGACACTGGATATAAGGAACATGTGAAATACAAGGGAGGAAGTTTAACTATTGGTTGTATTGGTCAACCCAATGTTGGAAAATCATCACTAATGAATGCTATTATGGGAAAAAAAGTAAATATGTTAGTTAACGTCGGAAATTTTCCATTTATCAAATAATTAAATAATTTTCCTTTTTTTAAATAGGTAGTGAGCGTATCTAGAACTCCTGGTCATACGAAACATTTTCAAACAATTTATTTAACTAAAAATGTTATTTTATGTGACTGCCCCGGTTTGGTGTTTCCCAGCACAACCCCCAGAACACTCCAAGTGAGTATTATTCCTTTTAAACTCCCTTAAAAAAACTTTTTCAAAAAACTTCATTTTAAAAAATAAAATATTTTTTTTAGATTTTAAATGGAGCGTATCCGATCGCACAAGTTCGAGAGCCTTACACAGCAGTAAAATTTTTAGCAGAACGACTCGATTTGCCAAAATTATTGAATATTCAACATCCGGAAAATGATCAAATTTGGTCGGCCATTGATATTTGTGATGGTAAAAATTTTTTTTTTTTTTTTTTTTTGGGTGGAGGGGAATATTTTTTATTAATTTAATCAATATTACTGATGAGTAAAACTTTTTAGGATGGGCTAAAAAAAGAGGATTTTTTACTGCGAAAACTGCCAGGCCAGATACGTACAGAGCAGCAAATAATTTATTAAGAATGTCGCTGGATGGTCAAATATGTCTTTCATTTAAACCCCCTGGATTTTTCGATAAACAAGGTAAGAACGAGATTTATATTCTTGTAAAAAATAAAGTAATTTCATTTTTACGATATATAAATAATTTTTCAGAGTATTGGAATAGTCATCCAGAAGTGACTGAAATATCTTGGATTCAAGCAAAAGACAAGGCGTGTAAAGAACAAGAAGAAAGCGATAGCGAAAGGAGTAATTCTTCGTCTGGTGATGAAAATTCTGATTCAGATGATGAAAGTGATGATTCGAGCGAAGACATTAGTCAACCACTTGTTTCTAACAAATTTGAACTTTTACAATTGAATCAAGACTGAATATAAAAGTAATTATTTGCACGTACTAATTATTTACACTTTTTTTTTTTTTTTAAAGCATTTTTTTTAAAAAAATGTAGTAGTCAACGGGGATTTCGAATCGCATTTATTCTGATGGCCGAGTATTTTTTTTTTTATATGTATATGGGTTTTTCTTTTTAAAATTTATTTTTTTTAGGAATCGATTGTGTTTATTCATAATAAAGTATGTATTTTCAACTTAAATTTAAGTAATGAAATTATTTTTAAAAAAAAATTTTGAATTACCTGCATTTACTAATTTTTTTTTTTTTTTTTTAATGGCTAAAATTTTTTTTATTTAAATATTAAATGGTTTCGTTTAACCACTACTTTTTGAGTCCTAAACCTTTTCCCTTTTTTCCTTTTTGATCCATAACTTCAAATGGATTCCTTGTTGCTTCCGTATATATTTCTTGACTTCTTTCTTTTATTTCTAATCTATTTGGAACTTGAGCATCTTCGATCATGAAGTCAACAATGAGAGCAGCTAAAAATAAAAATTAATACGATTGATTGATTGATTGATTGACTTTTTTTTTTTTAATTTTAGGTATTAAAAGTTAAGGGTTATTTAATACTTACGAGCTTCAACAACATCTTCAACCGGATATAAATTGCTAGATATAAAATTAGATACGTGTTTGAAATGTGTTACGAAAGCTCTTTCTTCTTCAGCTGCTGGACCAATTTCTTTTAATCTTGTTTTCAAAAACATTACTTTGGAATCGATGAGATGAATCAATCTCTGGGCTAAAATCATTAAGTAATTTTTTATTTATTTAATTTTTTTTTGAAATATTTTTTTTCGACGTGAAGAAATTTTGTTTACCTTCTTCATTGATCGGAGGTTTCGCGACTTCTTCGGCTGTACTCTCCGTTTTAAAACGCAAAGATTCGGCTAAATTATTAACCGGCCAGGGTAGTACGTCTTTGTCTATATAATCTGGGGGCGTTTTGACTTCTTCTAAAAGTTTACATAATCTTTGCAAACCGCATCGCAATCTCACGCTCACATTCGACACTTTATTCTGTTCAAAATTGATTTGTTTCAATCTATTTTTTTCAAATTCTATTTTACTGTTTAATCTTTTGCATTCTGAATCAAAACTTGCAAGAAAAAAAAAAAAAATTAATTAATTAATGAGTTTGATGATTTTATATAATCGTTATTCCACAAGGTTTTTTTTTTTTTTTTAAATTTGCAACTAATGAGAATTAATATCAGATATTTAAATAGGATGGGAAAAAAAAAAAATTTGTTTTTGTTTAATGTTTTTTATAAATTAATTTGTTTATAAATTTCAATTCATTGCGTCGAATAAAATCCGTTAAAATGTTGCAAAATTAAAAAAAAAATTGTAAATATTTATAAATGTTTTTGTTTAATTTTTAAACTTTTAGTTGTGCGAATTGTTGTCTATTTATTACTCTGTCTTTTTAAGTCAAAAAATTTGTTTTAAATTATTTTAAATAATAATTACAGTGATGTTGTTTCCGCTCCCGAGTGATACAAAGAATAAAACATTAAATCCGCGTGATTTTTTTTATTCAGCATGTCTTCAAAGGCTACCGCATTTTGTCGCAATTCTTCCAAAAGTCTTCGTTTTTGTCTTAACGTATTTAACATGCTGTAATTTATTACAAAGAGTAAAATGTTTATCATCATTATTAATAATATATATATATGTGTAAACATAGGGAATTTTATTATCGGCGTACTTGGGCAATATATTTTTAGCATTTGGTACCAGGGTGACATCTTGTAATCTTGTAAGAATATCATTTAATTCGCGAATTTCTTGTTCAATGTCTTTACCCTTTTTTTTGGGTTCTTCAACCGTTACAGTTTGAATCATTTGAACGTCGAATTCACTCTTAAAAAAAATTTTTCATCACCAAATTTACCAAGTTATGGTCCCCCCCTTTGGTTTCGAAAAAATTTACCTCAGTTCGAACAAGTCCTTGAGATTCTTCGAGCAATGCGACCAATCTTTCCCGAATTTCTTTTAAACAAGCCTCCCTGTCGACCATATTGGATCTGACTTCCTTCTCCAACCTCGCGTATTCGTATTTCATGTTAGCCATTTCTTCCATGGCCAATTGACCCATTTCAGTAGCTCTTATCAAGCATTTGTGTTGTATGTTGCTGTCGCTTTGAAGTGTTACCAAAATTGCTTCGTAGTATCTTTGATCCTTCAGAAAAAGGAATTCTATAATTTTGACATACAACAATCAAAGATTTAAGTTTCGTTACATTAATTTTTGTTTTGTTTTTTGTCATTATTTCCATTTAAACTCACTTTTCTAAGGACTGCTAACATTCTTCTATAAACGCCTTGAATATTTTTAGCAGCACAAAATTTAACGTCATAGTTTTGTATTGCATTTGTTATTGCTTGCTGTTGTATATCTTTTCTATCAAAATCTGGAAGAGAAGTTAAAAATCGAAGATTTCCTAATTCAACCTAAAAAAAAAAGAAACGCAATTTTATTTAACATTCAATCATTCATTGAATATTTCACAAAAACTATAAGTTTTATCAATACTACATTTTAAACTTTAAAATACTTTACTGGATATATAATTAACAAAGAATAATAATAATAATTAATAGGAAAAAAAAAATTAATAATAATAAACCACAATTCAATGAGACACACCTTTTTGTCTAGTAACCGTCTTTGTTGTTGACTTTTTTTATAACGAATTATATTTAAATTTTTTTTACGGCAAAATATCCTGTGATTAAGATCTTCAATAATTTTCTAAAATGAAAAAATTTTTTTTTTTTTTTAACAATGACAGCCATTCTCGATAAAAAAAAAAAAATAAATGAAAAATTAAAATTTACATCTAAACTCATGTTCATATAAGCCACTTGTAATTCTTTGTGATTTTGTAATAATCTTCTGGCAAGGCTTCTATCTCCATGTACGCAATTTTTTAACTGATCTTGAAGTTCTAAAATTTCTTTTCTTAACTGTTTTATTTTTTTATAATTTTTTTTTTTTAACACGTTCGTATCTTTAACTTGATTTTTTTGCTCACGATCTGAAATGATAATCACGTTCGTAATAAAATAATAATAATGATAATAATTTTTATTATGATTATTAAGGAAAATAATTAATTAATTTACTGTATATTTTAATAAGGCCCTTATACATAAGAAGTTTATCCTGTACGGTCCATCTATCATCTTTGACTCCGATGGCTTTTAGCTGTTGAAGTGTCATTAATTTTGAAAAAGACATTTTTTCTTATTATTTTCTTTCGGTTAAAATAAATTACTTATTGATATTTATATATAATATACATAAATATTTCTATTTAATTATTTTTACAATAATAAAATTAAAAAGTAAAATATAATTTTTAATTAAAACGAACCGAACTGAGAGTAAATTGTTTGTAAATAAAGCAGAAATTATATTACGTATTAAAAAAAATTTTTTTTTTTGGCGGGTAAATTTAAAATTTCCGAATGAAAATAAATTAAATTCATATAAAATTCGTATCAATCAAATTGATTTAATTACGAAAGAAAAAAAATAAAATACTTTTTTTAAAAAAAAAAAAACAATTTAACACTTATTTAATTTTCTTACGATAAATTCAATTTTAATTTAAAAAAAAAAAAAAAAAAAAAACCGTTGAATATTTCAAATTCGTTCGCGAATATAAATTTAAATTCTAGATTCTAGAGTCACGATAAAAATATAATTAATATTTTCCATTAGGTGTGTATTATTATTATAGAAAAGAAAGTGAATCGTTGTGAAAATAACATTAACTGGAGTTTTGTTTTTTTAAAAGTCACGTGACGTCTCGTCAAATTTAGCTCTGTAAGTCTAGTCTTGGACCACGCATCATCCACCATAACGAATCAGTCCGGTTTTCGCGCCGACATGAATTGGAGGGAATTTACATGATAAAATTTTTTTCTAACCGTCAACGAGGTTTTTAAGACCTTGAAATGTTTTATTTTGTGTTCAATTTTTACGGTTACGTTTGATTGCTTTTCACCCCGATTTAATTTTGTGCTTTTACCTGGCCTCAAATTAAAGTTATTTATTTTATTTTTTTTCGAATCAAGGTGTAAAATATAATTTTTTTGTGTATTTAGAAAAGGTGCTTTTTTTTTTTGTTTTGTTTTCTTACTAAAAAGTTATAATGTAAATGTTGTGTTGTTTATGAAATAACCTATTAGTTTTGTTTTCAACTTGTTATATATATAAATAAGGTAAGCCAAAACATAATAATAATTATTTTACAATTTAAAAGTTTATTTGCTTTTACATTTTAACTCTAGTAAAAATTTCAATTTTACTTTGAATGATAATGAAAAAGATTTCCAGTGAGGAAATAAGATATTTAATAAAAGAAAAAAAACCATTTCAAAATTAATTTTATTAGTTTTAATGAAGGGGGTAGTAGCATCACTCGATATAAATTAAAAGTTGTTAGAAATGAAGTGCAACGTGCACCCCTCATTTCTTGATGTTTAGTTTAATTAATAATTATATATATTTCATATTTAATAACAATATTCGAAAAACTGTGATGAAAGGTATCTCAAACAGTAAACATACATATAAAAAGAATTAAACGAATGTGACAAAATGTTAAAAAACTGCATGTGGGTGGCAATAGTATATATATATATGGTTCATGGAATTTTTTTATCAAATGCCAAAACTTTTGTTTTCCACAGCCAAAGAATCTGTCAATATTTTTTTTTTTTTTTTTTATTCGGTCACAATTCTCAATGTTTTAAAACTGATTTATTGATTGTAAATTTTTTTTTATTTATTTTTATTTAAAACTTTGGTCTTTGTATTATTATTATTATTAATTATTTTTTAATTCGAACCATCAAATTTTTTTTTCTTTCTTTTATTTATTTTATTTTGTACATCATGTGTAAATTAATTTGACCTGAGTTTAATTTTTTTTTGTTATATCATCGAAAAATTTTAGGAAGTGTGTGTGTGTATAAAGAAAGTGTTTCCATAAAAAAAAAAAAAAAAAAATGATGTAAACATATCTAAGAAATGGTGGAATTGAGCCAATTTATTGTTGTTATTCTTTTTTTTTTTATTTTTTTTTTTTGTTTTTTTTTTTTATTTTTAAATTAAAAGGTATTGTTTACTGTTTTTTTTTTTTTTTTTTTTTATATTTCATTGCAAACTGCATTCTGTGCAATTATGCTTATCACAGTATAATGATAAATTAAAACAACAATTTTCAACAATAATTTTTATATATATTCGCTATCAATTTATTAATTATAACAAGTAGTGAGTCATTCGAATATTATTATGTATGTACCCTCGAGTGTTTTAGTTTTCTCTCTCTCTCTTTCTCTCTCTCTCCCTCTCTCCCTCTCTATTTAAACATTTATTAAAAAAATATTAAATAATTATCAGATGTTTGAATATTTCAAATGTGTTATATGTTTTCACATTCGAAAGGGCAAAAACATCATTTTTTTTTTTTTTTTTTTTAGGAAAATGAAAAGGGGGTAAAAGTCTTAAAAAAAAAAAAAAAAAAAAAAAACAAGAATTTAAATTTTTTTTTTTAAAAAAAAAAAAAAAAAAATTTTTTTTTTTTTGACAATATTAATAATTATTATCAGGCTTCGGGTTATCTCCCTCGCATTTACCTTTCATGGTTACATGCTTCGAAACGAATTTCTTTGAAAAAAAATTAAAAAATTTTTAAAAGAATTATTATTATTATTATTTTTTAAATACATGCTCACGATGCATACATACATGCATACATATGTACATGATCGATGTCAAATAGTAGTAGTAGTAGTAGTAGGGACTTTAGTCGTGTAGATTTATTATTATTATTATTATTATTTTTTTTTTGATAACCGATGATTTGAGATGTTTTCAACGAAATATTTCTTAAAAGGGGGGAAATAAAATTCCCAATAAAGGTTTTTAAAAACGTAGATGGATAGAATGAAGAGTAGTAAAAAAAAAAAAAAAAAAAAAAAAAATGTTTTCTCTCATATGCTAAGAGTGCATTTTGTGTGAGTAGTCGAATATTGAAACCGGTGCATTGTTACAGACTGCACCTTCAGGCAATTTTGTTTTTTTTTTTTTTTCGAGCAGGAAATTCTTTTTAAGGCAAACGTCCTTGAATATATATATTTTTTTTGTTTTGTTCATCCACCACACACACACACACACACACACACACGCACACACACGAGCGTAGAAAAGAAAAAAATATTAAACCATGAGTTGGTTGGTTGGGTTGGTAGAGAAGAGTGAATGCATGCATTTTTTGTTCCGATTCAAATAATCGTTAACGATTATGTAACATGGAGATTTTTTTTTTTTTTTTTTGGTAATGAAACAAGGTTCTTTCTAAAAGAAATTTTTTTTTTTTTCAACATTACTCGTTCGCGATGAATGTGTTGGGCGTTGAAAATGTGTTTTAACCACATAAAACGAAGAGAAATGGAATGGTTGGCAGGTTTAGTCGTTGAATCATAGGTTGATTTTGCATTAATTAAAATAAACCTTGAACTTAAAAACAAAACAAGAAGAAAAAAAAAAAACGTCTTGTAGATTTATTTTATGAGTTTTTTTTATTTTGAATGAAACATCATTGAACCGTTTGTTTTTTTTGTGTCTATTTTCTCCCTTACATTTTTATTTTTGTTGTTTGTTCGAATGATTTGTATCGGCGTACGATAATTCGTGGGAGAAAGGTTTTGTAGATAAAAGAAGAAAAAGTTGTTGTTGTTGTTGTTTCGTGGAATCGTCATCGATTCGACGATAAGAAACTTCCCCATGACGGAATAATTAATCGTAAAACGCTGAACAAATATTTGTTTTATCAAAAAAGTTTTTATTTAACAAAACAAACGAACGACTGGAATGGAAAGATGGATGGATGGATGGATTGTATGATGGTTGTGAACGTGTTGAAAATTATACCAAATCAAGTCCAAAGTTTTTGGCTAAAATAAAAAATCACAGATAAGATATTTAAAATAATCCTCTCGGAAATAACAAAGGTTAATAAAAAATTAAACACACACGCACACGCACACACAAACACAGGGGACAAACAATAAAGTTTAAAGTTTAGGGTAGTACCAAGCGCGTAATAAAAGTTAAAAAATTAGTCAAATTTGTAAAATGAAAAAGTATTGGGGGGGGGGGAAAAAGTAGTAAAAACCGTTAGAAATTTTGTGTGATTTCTAGAAAGACGAAAATAACGATTTGCGAACTCGCTATTAAAAGTGTTTTACCCCCTCCCCTCCTGACCCGCACCCCCGCAATATTAATTGTATCGAATTTTCCACTTTGTGATTTTTTTTTTTCTTCGAATTGTTTTCAGTGACTTTTAGAAAAAATTTCTTTGGGAATTTTTTCACTTCCGCTTTATTTATAATCATAAATTTTTAATATTAATATATTATAATTATTATAATTCGTTATGTTTATAATAAAGTGTGGTTTCCACGTGGCCGTTATGTGTGTGTGTGTGTGTGTGTGGATAAACTTTTCTTGATGATGTATTTAATGTGTATTTTTTTTTTCCCTCAACTTCTTCTTCTACGAAACGTTGTAAAATTTAAAAAAAAATTCTAAAATAACATGGTTAGCACATAAAATTAAATAATAATAATAATTTTAATCCTAATATGAAAATAAATGACGGAATGCGTTTGTTTTAGTAAAAAATAAATAAATAAAATTCTAGTTGGAGGCTATAAAATCTAAAGTAAAAAAAAAAAAAATAGTAATAGTTAGTTTCTTATAAAAGTCGTTAAATAACTAGAATGATATTATTTTTTGATATATAAGATGGTTGTTGTTGTTGTTGTAACTAAATGTGTTTTTTTTTTTTTTTTTTAATGAAAAATGTATTGAAATTTTCAAATAGAAAATTTATTTTTTATACATTTTTTAAAAATATTTTTAATTTAATTTAATTTATTTTAAAAAAAAATTCTTCCCCTTCAAAATCCTACTTAAGAATTTTAATTAAAAGAAAAAAAATTTTAAAGGCCCCTTTTTTTTTTTTTGTAAAAAAAAAAAAAAATATTGATAATAAGCCGTCAAAAAGTTTTAAAAAAAAAAAAAAATGTAAAGAAAAACCTTTTTTTTTTTTTTTTTTTTTTTATGAAAATTTTCTTTTATGAAAAAATTTTTGGAAGGCTGGGATTTTTTTTTTTTTTTTTTTTTTTTTTAAATTTTTTAACCAAAGTTAAAAACTCAAA